AGAAATGGGGATTTGAAAACAACTGTGATTTTTCCTGAGCAAAGCTGATTTGAAAATATCATAAGAATACTTATCTTGTTGATGTTCCAGCTGAATGTAGAAGGGCTGTGGTGTGCAGAAATGGAAGTACAGTTTCAAAACCCTGTCCCCATTGTCAGTGAGAGTTCCAAACCTTTATTCTGCAACTCAACAGTCTGGCCTACCTTAAACTGCTTAATTCTCCCACCTCACTTTCCTGAGTCATATTTATATTTGACTCTTTAATACTTGTTTAGAGAACACCTACAAATCCACTGATGAAATTTAAAAACCCAAAAGGAACACTCTCCCTCAAAATGGATTAAAACAGTGTCAGCTCCCTTGAACTTAATGAATGAATACTATTCCTTAGAGCTGTTTTTATTCCTTCTGATATCCTAAATGATGCTGAATCAGAAAGGGTGAAGTAACTGAAATCCAGATATGTTAGTTTCTGCTCCATTAGGAAAAGGAAAAATCAATTTGGTAAAACATAAAAAAAGAAAATCAATAGGGAAAGAAATTTTATTTTCACTTGAAAACTAAAAATATATTACAAACAATGGTGAGTGAAAATTATTCATTGATTTGTATAACACCTTTTACAAGCCCAAAAAGTGCTCCAAAGAATTATAGATTATTTAAATCCAAGGATCACTTACCACCAAAACGCACCTATCTCTAGGGTGGAATGCAGCTGCTACAAAATTGTACTAGGAAACACTACACCACAGCTTTAGGGCACAAATGCTTTATCAAAAGATGCATGAAGGGAAGTTGAAAATGCAGACTTGAATTACCCAGGCTAGAATATGACCACATTGCAACTATATTGATTTCAGTTTAAGCTTAAACTCACAGAAGATAGGTCTATCAGCACAGTAAACAAACTTTGGCTCGCAAAGTCCCTAAAACGCTCTGTGTCACACGTTGGGATAATATGCCAGAGGATGGGTCACTTTGTGTTTGCCCTGTTCCTTCTGCTCTTTCCCTGGTCACTGTAAGAAAGCCGATGGCACCAGTCTGGATGGACCTTTAGCTCTGACCCAGCCTGGCTGTTCGCAGGTCCTGGGCTTGCACGCGGGGCTGTGAGGCACCGCGGCACCGCAGCCAGCGCACCCGCGCATCTGTTGGCTCAGCGGCAGGGCAGCCATCTCTGGCAGAAGGGCAGGTGGTGCAGCCGACAAGGCAGCCTTTTGTACTCTCTGGCATGAATCACCGTGCTCATCCGGAGGCACTCTAAATCCTCAGTGTTAAGCACACATTAAGTTGTTTCAGGATATGGGCCGCATTTATAGCACTGTCATTAGTAGCAAGGGCTTGCACTGCATAAAATTACACAAAGTACCTTTTGTACCTCAAGATGTACTTAGCAAGCAAACTCCTAGGGGCAGGGAATGTACAGTCTTCTGTTTCTCTAAAGCACCTTATTCAATTACGGCAATATAAAAATGATTTATAACAATCTATTAAAAATACAACTCAAGTGACTTATCACTCCTGGGGTCCTGGGAATATACTGTAGGATTTGCCATTTAATTGTAAATCAAATCTAGTGGCCAGTACCTCATGTTTTAGAGAAAGATGAAAACTATTGATACACCTCACCACTTGCAAGTGCAGCATGTCTTGGGTGATACAATCTTGGGTCATCAGCCAAAACATGACAAGGGGGACACAGAAATTTAGAAGGAAGTGGCAGAAACTTCTGCTCCCTACAGTCTGTAACCCAATCAGTTCTTCCACTGATCAGGAATCAGTCCAAGGACAGACACAAGGCAGGTGGGCAGGTACAATGAAAACACTTGCTATCACTGCCATGGTGTTCCTTTCTGCCCAGAGTGTTTCTTTGTCCCTCAGCTTTCTCTGGAAAAGCTTCTTGGGAAGATGAAAGTCCAAAATACCAGCAAGATAGAGTAAACAGCTTGCCTAAAAGGCAACAAGCTGGGCTGGAAAGAGATTCACAAAGCATCTTGCACCCACAGCCCTAGGCAACCTGCATTACACAGGGTGGTCCAGAGCTCTGGGGACAGCTGAAGTTGTGTGTGGGCTAGAAGCACAGCACCTATTTCATCTCACCCAGTTCAACAACCCAAGTCTACCTGTTCTTGTGCTGAGGAAGACTAAGGATATGTAATAAGAAAAACTCAAATTAGAAACCTGACCCCCCTCTTCTGTCTTCCAAATAGCCAAGAGTCTATTCTGTGAAATAGTCTGCATCGACATCAAAATCAAAATAGACATCATGTGCATCAGAGGCATGCGCCACATCTGATAAAATACTCCTAATTCTGACCATTAGCAGACATGGATGGAAACTATTTGCATCCTGGAACTGCCTGTTATTGGCAAAGTGTGTTCATAAAACTGTACTCATAGGAAAGCCCAGGCCAGGAACTGACCTATTTGGCCAATAAACTCTTTCCTCTGCTTTTTCTGACAGTGATATCTAAGCAGCTCTTTTCATAAGTTGATATAGTTGTACCTTGAAAACAATATCAGAGCAGATGAGGGAAGTTTACCCCTTCCTACAAAGCCACTGGAGCTATCATACAGCATGAGGTAGAAATCCACAATGCACAGCTAATCAGAGATGCCCTCACCTGCTGAAACTAGCCAAGAACATGATACCTAAGGAAAAACATTAATTTTAATGTAATATTGAATAGAACTGATAGATATATCCACATATGGAAAATGGCAGAGGCTGTAGGAATACTAAATTCTTCTTTGCTTTCACACTTTCTACCAACACAGTTCTACCAACCCTCAGCTTCTCCCTCTTCCACCGCTCCTTCCTCCACTTGGGATTTGTCCCCATAGTTGGGAGAACTCTTAAAATCTTCCATTCTTAAGGAAGGTTCAGACATAAAGGCCACTACTAGTGCAGAATATGTTTCTTGTGCCATAAAATCAGCAATACATTGCTTCCTATGGGTTTCCTTGCCTAATTCCCTAGGGATTAGCACAACACCAGTGACAAGTGATGCTCTTCCCCTACTTGGATTTCTGTGTAAGATTCCGTTGTAGACACTCTAACACCTAATACTGGCTCACACTATACTTTTCCCCAGTAACATCACTTTGTCTTCCAAAAATCTGTATTTTTTCAAAGAGCTTTGTCTCTTGAAAAAACCTGTTCTTTGGTTATATTTGGCTGAAGCTGGCCAACCAGTTCAAAAGCCACTGAGAAGACAGCTACACACCTCACCTCACCCACAGTGCAACACAGAGGCCTCATTTTCTAGGGAAATGAGGCTAAAAAACAAACAGTGAACCCAGAATCTTCTGTTCTCTCATTCCCTGTGAATCTAACGTTCATCTTTGTTACAACCTCCTTCTGACAGGAATTGCCTTTATCTGTATTTTGTAAAGCTTTGAGCATATTGCCAGCACTTTAGTAGTAAAATATCATAGAAAACCATATATCTGAATATTATTATGCAGAAAATATGTGCATGTTCACACAGACAGCGGATATATAAAAATATTGAATATGTAATTTAAAAGCTGTATTTGTGTTTAAGTATGTAGGTCAAACATAGGGCAAAGTTTTTTCTATTACGCACAAAACCTACATGTACACTGGACCGAAAGAAAGCACATAAACTCTTTTAATTCTGGATGCTAAAAGATGCAAGTTCTAACTAGCGTTTGGATGGGTGATTTCCCCAGGGAACCCCAGGTGTTCTGGGCACACGCCAAGCAGTTATTGCTGAGCGCTGGGGTTGAGGTTCACCTCGCCTAACCTTAGCCATCTGTCTCCCTGCAGAGACTCGGGCACCTCCAGAGGGTGATACCTGGGAGGATGGAATGAATCAACCTGCCTGAGTCTCACCACTGACTACAGAGGTGGCCCAGACTACTCACTTAGATAACCACGCAATTTTTGAATAACTACAGTTAGGTGAGATGAATGCCAGACTTGGTGAATATTAGCCTACAAAAAACAAGCCAGTGGGAAGATTGTATATCACAGTTGAATGGGAACAAGAAAGAGCAAACCATAAACCCTAAATTCTCAGCTTCTGCACAGAAGCAAGAACTGGTTTATAATACCCGGAAACTTCTGCAACTGCATGAAGAGGTCTTCATAAGAAATAAATAAATACTTGTAAGGCAACTAACATTAGCATTTTAAATATATTTATTGACAATTAAACTTTGAAGTATTCTCCTTACAGCTTTTAGTTACTGGAAAATGGTGATTGTTGACAGCAAATGGCAGAAGGGCAATTTCTACTTTGGTTCTGATCTGGGTAACTTCCTTTTAGCTACCACAAAAATCAGAAAGAAGATCTAGAGGGGAAAAAAAACCAAACAAATCCACATAACCTGGGCTGGACTCTGCAGAAGGTGGTTTTAATTGCTCTACTTTCCCTGCATTTCAGGTACAAAGGGTAACACACACGACCCACTGGGCAGTGGGTTTAAAAATTGCTACTTGTCCACTCATTTCTGCAGTTGAATTTGTTGGCTTTAGAGTAATACTATTGGTTTTGAAGTTCTACTTCCCATTAGTGCTATCAACCATGAGATATTGTTAGAGGGCTTTTTCGGGCTTTTTTTTCTGCCTTCACTGGATGGAACACAGCTTATCCCCATGTCCATTAAATATACATTTGAACAGCATTTCCACCTGCACTTTGTCACCTCGGGTTCTCAAGGGGTGTATCTCCACTTGGCTCTGAGCTCAAGGGCGCCCTTGATATCAGTCTGAGAGTGCCAACAGGCATGCTAATGCCCATTTGAAATAGCTTTTCCTTTGCCTCAGATGTTTTCATGCACTCAACAAATAAAAAGTCTGCTTCACTCTGTCTGCAGTGCTGTAGGACGACCTCACCTCATTCTGTCAGTGAGCTACAGTTGCTTTCAGGCACCTTCTAGACTTTGCTTTCCTTCCTGGAGTGTGTCATGTCCCCCCCTCCTTACTTTAAGATCCAAGTTAGCAAAAGTCTCCGAGTGTATTGATCTAAGCTTACCTTCTTGAAAGCACTCACCCCACTGCTGTTAATACTGTATTTCTTTTCAAAATGTCCACATTCCCTGGAAAATTAGAAACACCCTGTAATTATGAGCTGCTATGAACACGAAAGAACACAATTGCAAAGAGGTAACAAAAAGCTGAATTCTCTGCAAATAAAGCATTGGCAGTAAAGATAATTTGTTCTTCTGCTGTCAGCAAGAGGTGTCTATATGGGTCACTGAAGAGGTTCTTTCTGGGAATAAGTTAAATTCAGCATCTACCATCTTGTCCTGTGGGTGAAGCATGCTATCTCAAATACGCAATACAGCCCAAACTGGGTGTAATCTTTTTTAAACTTTCCTTTTTTATGAATCACTTCCAAGTCTTGGGGGTAGGACATCATGACAGCCAGTTCCTCAACAAAGAACTGACATGAGAACAAAAGCTATTCCTGAAGAGTTCTCAAAATAAAAGTGAGACAGATGAGTGAGGAAAAGTTGCATGGGTGTTTCTTCAAACAAGAACATGGTCAGAAAAGAAGTATCAAAAATATAGATTCATTAAAGCTGAACTGCCTCACAAAATTCTCAGTTCTGCAGAAATGTGCATTAGGGAAAAGACACTGTGAATATGTCAGGTGTGGACACCTTCAGAGCTAACAGTGTCAGTGTTTCATCCGAAAATGACTTCACATTTTTAATGTATTTCTGTATTTTACATTCTAGTACTGTATTGAATAACAAAACCAGCATAGTTGATTCAGAGTGAATCCTTCTGAGAAACTTCCTCTTGCAGGAGGAATTTTAAAATTTGGGACTTTCATTCTAAATTGAACCCAATGTAAATTTCAAAATTTTGAAATTCTTTGGAAAATGGGAATTCCATTCATTGCCCAACACTGCTTTAAACCTCAACCCTTTGTCAATAGCTAAATCAAGCTTTGGGAGAAGATGCTAGCATCCTTCTGAAAAATGGTTCCTGCCCGCCTTCCCTTCCCAATGGCATCTGGAGATGGCTGCCTTGCTGTAAATCTAGACAAAACCTGCTAAACAGTTGTCCTGAAAAACTACAAATAGTTAAGTACTTGGCCATATTCTGGACCCCTGGCATATAATCTTTCCATATAATTATTTCTGCTGTTGTCATTAGCTCCAGCACTCTCACTATTTATTACCACAGGTATTTCGAGACTCATAAAAATGTGATCTTACTCAAGGCTTAAGCAACGCATGAAATAAATCAGTAGCACTGAACATTGGCTGACACTGGGTGAAACCTGGCTGGGAACAGCTGGATTGCTCTCTTGACTAAATATTTACAAAAGCCACGATTATATCACTGAGTGACACCGTGTGAATATAACAATTTATCAATCATCATGTTTAACTGAAATCCCTGCAGGAGGGGATGGCATTCTCACTTAACAATAAGTATCTACTGTATGCTAATTAAGTGACTTATTTTGTGGCTAACATTACTTTAGGGATATTTGGGATTTTTAACTACCCATTTCCTAAGCACTGCTTACTTCAGAGGCACAGAAAACAGAGAGTTCAGCTGGGCTGTCGCTTGCACCAGTACCCATCCAGTAACCCACTGGAATTACTTGGGGCACACGTTGGAGCAGGAGCAAGCCCAAACCAACACACAGAATTTGTTTTCCATGCTCCCTCCACAGTTCCCCTGCCTGCTACAGGGTGCCTATGGGCGGCAAGTACCACCACAGCCATCCTGCCATGCCCCCCACTGCCACAGGACCTGCTTCTCACCAGCTCCAGCCACTTTGGTCTCCTGCCCTTGCACGTCCTCTCCCAAGTAGCTGGCACATGCTCATAGTGCTGGTTGGCATTTGTGCATTCAACCTGAAATGCCCATGTCTCTAGGAGGGGCCTCCTACATTTTCTCACCCCATGTTAACCAGGTTGGGCACAACTGAGGGCTTGTTCACCCTGAAGCTGCCTGAAGTTTCACCTGGTAATGTGGGGCTCTACAGCACCAAACTCAACCTTCCTGACAGCATCCACGTGAGTCTGTCTGATCAGAGTGTGCAGGAAAACCTGCCTCCCTGCCACCAGGGACCTGGCACTGTCTCCATCAGAGCTGGTTAGCGCCGACTGGGTAACCTCCTGAAAAGGTCACTGGCCACCGAATACAAGCCTACCTGCTGCAAGGAGAGAAGGGCTGGGACATGAAGAGCTCTACCAAACTGTGGTGTTGCCAGGGAACATAAGGATCAGGTTCATACAGATGGGAGCAGCAAGTAAACCTGCTCAGGGCATCGGGAAGAGAAGGTTTTTGTGAAGATAAAGCCAGCACATGTCACACTGATATGAAATGCGTGTTTGGGCACCAGAAACCACAACCACATGGCAGGAGCTTTTTATAAAATCTTCCACCTTCTGCTTCATGCCAGATTAAGTCTCTTGTACCAGCAATGGCATGAGCAGTTCAGCTACCTTCCTGTCTCCTTCAGATTACAGATTTTAGTGCAATGCAAGAGAAAACATAAACCTCCTATTTGCCAGTCCCACTGCACAGACACTTCAAAAATTTTTTCTTCAAAATGCCTCTCAGATCCATGGATAATGCAGCCTGTTTGTGTGGATCTCAAGCTAACATTCAAAAGGAACAGGTGGCATCCATGGCTCACCTCTGGAAACTGCTTTTGAACCTTGTCTTTCTTTCCAGGAATCGTTGTTCAAAAAGAAGAAAAAGTTTGAGGTGTTGAAGTCTCTGCTCCCTTGAGAGCCTGAGAAGAAAGTTTCCCTCATATGGATCTTAGAGATAGATTTTTTTTATTCCCATTTTGTACATGTTGAGAGTCTGCATAATAATTGTATTTTAGCCTTTGGAGCACATCTGCCACTAAAAGGGAAATTTCACCTTCTTTCTACCTACAGAGAGGTCTATAAATCAGTAAGCACACAGACATGGGAGCACGGGACTTGGTTGCCCTTCCAGGAGCCCTTAATGGCTCAGACAATCGCAGCAAGTGCTCTTTTCAGAAACACAGGGAGGGAGGAGAGAAGTTACGATAAATTTAGTTTTCTTTTGAAGTTAATAACCTCCTACAAAGGCTTTTGGTAAAACACAGACACCTTAACATTTTTTTCCCTTTCAAACCATTTTTTCCTCTATTTTTCCCTCAGATGGTAAAATCTGAGGAAACCTGTCTCTTCAGAAGTAACTGCTTTGTGTGAATGACATCAGCAGACCACAAGGTTACCACTGGTAAGTTGACACCCTGAGGGGAATGAAATGAAATCTCTTATCAGCCTACTTGCTCCTCTTCTTCTTTACATTTGGTGTCTTTTGTAATATGCAAAGCAAAGGAAATGTTTTGCTCCCCTTGATTTTTTCCACCTTTTTTTTTTTTCCCCTCAGGAGAAGGAACAATATATTTAACTTGTTGCTCCAAGGTCTCAGCTGCAGTTTCAGGTCTGTTTGGTACCTCAGTCAGAGGTGATTGATTTATACTTCCTCCTCTTTCTGCCTCACATCAGACCTTCTCTCACCTACCACTGGGTTCTCCAGAGACTTGTTGCAGGCAGTTTGAAAATGCAAGGCCTTACCAGGGGAAGAAGACCGCCATAAATGTGGTTAATGTTAACTTTGTATTATAAACGCCTCCAACACGGCAAAGGTTCTGCTATCTTAAATTCAAAACCATGGCAGGTATAACCTCTTATCAATTTCTCAGGGTGGCTGTCCTGTTGTAACTCTCCTCCTTTGGGGCCTCTCTCAGGTCAGAAGGTTTCAGAGGCAAAAACTGTTGGTGTGAAGGGAGATGATGATGACGAGACAATGGGTGAATGTATGGGAAAGTGGCTACAGCACAAGATTCCCTTCCCTGTATGTAGGATTTCCAACAGGTGGAGCCAGTATTGCAGCTACCCACAAAAAAAGGGAAGTAACTCCAAAGGTGGAAGCTCCTAGGGAAGATTCCAAGAGAGAGTTGGTTTGTTGTAGGAGAACACCTGAAATAATAAACCTATTGCAATGCACTTGGCCACAGTGGCGTCTCCTGGTTTATCAACCATTAGCCTCAGGAAAGGAGATGGGACTTTAAGCATATGTTTTGAATAAGCCTCATGCATCCAGTAAGTACACATTCTCCTGCCTCAATGCATCCCACAAAGTCAACCAGTTTGTTGAAAGAAGCAGCCAGGAAGGGCTAAAGAGTAACAAACATGAGAGACTCTGGGAGGGGAAAAAAAGCCTTTTCTGGTGATTGTCTGTCTTGACGCAAAGAACAGTTTAATCTTCCCCAAACTAAGCTTTGAAACAAAGATGCTAAATCACTGCAAGATTCCAAGTCTGGAGTACAGCATGGGAGCCTGGGTGTCATCAGGAGAATTGCTCACATACCGTCACATGTAGCTCCTCACCAGGTGAGACAATATGTGGAAGCAGGGACAGAATGCTAACCCAAGGTGGGGTGAAGGAGAACTTCCAAAAACCTGCAAGGCAAAATTAGAAGTTAAGGAATGGAACTATATACACTGATCTCTGTTAGTTTTACAAACAACATGCTTTTATAAACTGTGTTTAAAAAAAAAAAAAAAGTGTATCTTCCTTTTTGAATAAAATAAAAAGAAGAATGCATACTTTCTTTCTGAAGAAGCTATGTCACTATACCCACCTGACACCACTTGACACTGGCAAAGCAGAAGATGCCTGTATCCCCATGCATGCTCTGAGAATACTCGGCAGTTTCTCTCCCCCAGGGAGAGGTGCAGAAAGCCAGGCCTGGTTTAGGAGCTATCAGTCAGCAAAGGACAAGAAAAGGTGTCAGCCACCTTGCAAGTGTGACAAGGGTAGGAAAGTGGGCTGAGAGGCGAATGGGTAACTTCAGCACATGACAGAGACATTATAGAAAGGCATGAGGGATGAGATAGTGAAGACACTGTTTTGTGAAGGATGACACAATTTAAAACAGAATAAGTTTGGTCAAATGTTTATCATGGTCTCTCCAGGAACCTCCACTGTTTCTGTTTATTAATTTTAATGATATGGTATCTGCAGTTCCTGGTCAGAACCAAGGCTGTCCTGACAAATGCATTCCAACAGGATGGGGCCCAGCCATGCACAGTTTAAAGAGAAGGAAGATAAGTAGTGCACCAAGAATAGAGCAGCAGAATAAAACATGGGTTTTGAAGCCTTTGAGAGTCCGAACTATCCTTTGCAGGAAATTATTCTGTGCCAAAAAACTTGTCCTCATTCCAAACAAAGCCAATACCACTTCTGAAATTTCCTAAGTAGGAAGAAACCAGCAAACACTATAGCATTAGCTACAAATATAACATCAAACCAAGTACATCTCAAATGGCTCTCTGAACAGTATGGGTTTCAATCAATCCATGCATCCTAACTTGCCTGAGCAGTTCTATGTATACATATGTACACATCTGCAGTTTTAAAAAACATGAATAGACATTTGTACCTGTCTCTCCATTTTGTTGCAGCTGTGTCCTCTTTATGTTTCTCCAAGAAATCATGTTTTGACATAAAAAAATATTTCTCTCCCAGTAGCCTGCCTTGAGGTTCTAAAGAAAGCTGTGGACGCAACAGGAGTGAAGCCAGCGGTGTTCAAGTGACACTTGGGAGAGGGACACAGGATATACTCCTAAAACTTGGAGTGTGCAGTGCTCACAAGCACAGAGAGTTAGCCTGCCCCTGGCAGGTTTTACCATTTCTAATGGTAACATGAAGGAGGACATGAACATGTGGGACTGATCTCCCCTATTTGTAATTCCCTAGAAGTCCAAGCACCTAGAGGAGAGCACTAGTTATCCAGGCTCCCTTTGTACTCAGTGGAGAGTGAGTGATCCCTTCAGAGAGGGATTCATCCCTTCCTAGATGGATACCTGAGGCAGACAGGATGAATCACCCTCTGAAAGCATTTTCTTTCTGCAGAGAGTCCTCCTGCCACTGCAGAGGAGCCTCAGACCACCACCATAGATTTGATGCCAGTTACAAGCCAGATGAGAGGAATCCCTCCCGAAGCGACTCTTTCAAAGCAGTATCAGTGTCATCTAAGGATGACCCAGCTCAGTCCTCTATTCCACCATGTGCTGTGTCTTTCTGCCTTGCTCTTTATGGCATGTTCTCTGACAGAGAACACGTTAATTTATAGCACTGGGCAGTACAGTGCCTCTGTCAAAAAACCTGCCTGTGCCAAAACTGTGCCCCATTTTTAATTATTGAGCTTTTTATTCCAACTACTATATCACAAGAAGTCATCATATTCTGCCCCAAAACACTTCTCCACTGTTTACATCCACAACACAGCTTCCTTGTTTTAACTCCAAAGTTGTTCCCAACTGGCTGAGTTTTGAGCGTAGTTTCGCCATTTATTACTACATATCAAGCACAGAAAAACCTTGTGGTAAGAAGTAAAATCATTCCCATTTTTCTCCTGTCCTTCACTGTAAGTCTGTCATGCATTAGGAAACACTGGCAAGGGAACCTGGGTTACTGTAATTCTTTGCAGAGATACAAACTTCTAGGAATACATTAAAGAACCCAACTTAATTTTACAAGCGCTGGTTGTATTCTTTGATATTTTCCACTTCAGGGATCATCAGGTTTCCTCAAGTCCAGTAAAGTAAATTTTTTAAATCTTAGTGAATGCCAAAGGATTAAAGGATGAATTCAGAGATTTAGAGGCAGGTAACTGTTGTGGAAACAGCACCAGAAACCCTGTCTTCCATAGTGAGTCCTACCAGCGAGCTGCCCTGTGGCCTTGAACAAATCACTTCACCTCTCTTGTACTTCTGCTTTCTTGTCAATATTTTTGTCTGCTTAAGTGTGTGGCTTCTGGGGCAGCTCCTGTGGGTTTGTAGAGTGCCTGCCAGTATAGGATCCCAGCATCAAACAGAATGACACTGTAGTACAAAAATAAGGAAAGAAATTCAGGAAGTACAGGGATTTGAAAGGAAATGCAATGGTCTTTTTAAACCTCTGATGCTATCGGGGTCTTCAGATCTCCAGGCTCTGAAGGTGTAGCAGTTTTTTAAAGGAATAAGTGCTTGTCGTAGATCATAAGAGGGAGAAAATGTAATCACCTGTGTTTTTATGACTGGCCTCTATTCTACTTGGCTTGGTTCTGTTTAATACCTGTGGAGCAGGTAATCTTAATAAATAAAAAGAGAAGGAAAGAAAGAAAGTGTCAGCATGAGGCTGGGTATGAAGTTATTGAGAACAGAAGTGTAAATGTGTCAAGGAAATCCCCAGTGATCCAAAAGGGAATGCAAGTAGCTTTACAAGAAGCAGAAGCAAGCTGGGGAAAAAAAAATGTATAGGGTTCTTAGCTTTGCAGAAAGATTTTCATTTTTCAAACTGTGAATCAAATCAAATTAAATCAAAACTACATTTCCATAGCACCTTTCATATCAGGCTCCCATGGCACTTCATACAGAAGTCAAAAGGCAATTCATGTTTCCTCTGTTCCTTACCCACAGGTCCAGTGTTAGTGCAAGAGAAGAGTGCCCTAAAATTCCATCAGCATTTACAGCCCAGTGACTGCAATCAGAGCTCCTGGGCAGCAGCCAGGTTTTGGGGCACCCAGTATCCGCAGGCTGCCTACCCCTACAGCCCACTTAGCTACACCAGCAAACCCGCTGGCCCTTCCCTGGCATTGCCACAGGAAAGACAGCAGGCTGATCTGTCCCCTCAGCCACACTCAGATATCTGGTCACTCCCTGGACCAGAGTGGGTGGAAGTACAGCATCACCTGGGCAGCAAAACCTTCAGTTGCCACAAACCGGATCTCTTTGTACCAAGATAAGGAACAGAAAGGCTCCTGTGTGCAAAAACTGAGAAAGCACTGAAATCCTTTCACTAGTTACTGTAGGCAGGCTCATCTTTTTAAGGTAAATTTCATCTCTGCTAATCCTATCACTTAATATTGAAATCAAATATAATATGGTATTTGATATGACAGTCTCCTTCTTATGAAGTCAGACGCAGCATTTTTTATTTGCATACGATTTAATTACATTTTCATTCCAGGTCTTCCATTCCACATGAATTCTGTATGATTGCAATGGCGGGAGAGATTATAAAACTTAGAATAACACTGCAATGTTAAGAAATATGGAAGAAAAGTACTGCTGTTTTAGGTAAAGTGAATAAACAGCACAGTCCCATTACTGGCAGATACAGAGCAACATTTCAGCTACCCATATAATTTTTAAGCTAGCCACAGCCTTTTTTTTTTTTTTTGTAAGATACTACATCTTTTTTACAGGAGAAAAGGTTCAAAAAGAGCAGAACAGCAGGTCACCTCAATTCCACAGCAGCATGTAACTATGGCATTGCTGGACTTCCTTTCTGTGTTTCCAAGAGGTGGGCTGTGGGTATGGGGGTATCCTGCACCAGGTCCTCCAACATGCGTGTTTGCTCTGTAACACTTCTGCTCCCAGATTAACAAGGGGCATTGGAAACCATAAAAATGTTCTGCATGGTCAGAATGGAAAATACAATGTTCATAATAAAAGGAAACAGCCAAGCAAACCTCTGGATTCTGTGCATCAGTGACTATTATTTATGGTCACTGCTAGTGAAAACCAGTAAGACCTCTCAGAGCCAGACACTTGTTTTTTAACTGCAAGCACACACACAACATTCAAGTGCAAAGTAATACCCCCAGTCACCTGCAAACAGTAGCACATAATGTAGAATAACTTCACTCATTGTCACACCAATTGTAGGCATCAAGTAGGAGCTTGATGGAACAGCTGCAAGAAAGCAGTGATAAGAAGAAGCCCCCAGTTGTTTTGCACACATAGGAAAGGGTTTGTGAGGACTTGGGATACAAAATAGATTCCCAGACCCAGACACTTCTGTCCTCAAAGCCTAACATGAAGAGTCAGTACTCAACTACATTTTTATTTTTAAAAAATCGGAATTTGTTTATGACACACATGTTACTCATTTGTCTACCACATCAGAAATTGTTAAGGGAAGGAAAATGCTGTATTTTTATATATTCAACTGATACACTAGAATGGGAAATGGGAAACATTTCTGGTCTTTTAAGTGCAGAAGATTTTTTTTCTTGTTCCTGGATTTTGTTCCTAGCAGAGTTCATGATTTCACAGCATTTACTGCCTTAGTTTACCTATCAGTAGTCTGAGTATAATGATAGTGCTGCTTCTTAATTCAGGGTTCATGTTTTCACAGTGAGCTGAGACCAACAGAAGGTGCTTTACGAATGTAAAATATTGATTTTTTCCCCCTCATTTGCACAAGGTCTAGAACATTATACGGTAGCTAACATGCTCCTTGAACACAGCATAAACTTCCCTCTTTCTTGTAGCAAAAGGACATTGAGAAAGATATTTGGAAACAAAACCAATTCAAACGGGGCTACCTGCCAATGAGGAATAGTGATGAAAAGTCAATTTGGATTATTTTGGCATTAAAATGTTTCAGTCATAACAATCCTTGACTTACT